GCCTCGAATTCCAACTCATAAGATTGGTCTAATAAGTCTAGATGCAACAGTCAAGCCCACTCATGGGTAACAGAAAGTCATTCCTAGTCTTATAGCTCTCAATAATGAATAAAACAAAACGATAGACACGGGCTACCGCTATGGAATCTCCCAATAGGGGTAAACTCTTAAGCATAGTACAAAATCACGAAACTCACCCATATGTGAAGCAACATAGGAGGACTCACCCCGATAAGAAGAACCGAAACAAAATATGAATGATGCTCCTCTATAACAAATCAAAACAATACTTGTACGACATCATCCAGTGCAGCGGCCTCATCCCTATCGTATAAAGTACATCAACGGACCGAGCCCCCCCTCTTGGGCGCCCTCTACCCACCTAACCTACACCCCAAGCTGGCAGTGCAGTGATATCAACAACTCAAGAAGAACGCATAGCCTGGATACCCCGCCGTGACACATATGTTCGGAGTCTAGGACAATCTCGCACCATATGGCTAGTATCTCCACACTCAAAGCAGCATGTCCGCTGGCATGGCTGTGGAAGCTGTCCTGCACGGGCACTTTGAGACACATGGATATCTGAAGCACCGCGCAAATCCTGAAGTGAAAACTGAATAGAGTGACCCACAAAACATCTACCATGGCGTACCTTGCCTCCAAAATAGGGACTAGTAGATCCTCACGGTTTGCAAGGCCTCTTAGCCTCTCTGTCCTTTCTCTACTAAACCCGTATGTCCTCTCCCTCCTAGTCTCGCATGCCCTCTAGTCGGCGAGCGATTTCTACCACTTGCTGAAATGGAACATCCTACTCCAACTCTCGAGCCATGCTAAACTGGATATCATGGTTGAGCCCCTCAAGGAACCTGCAGACTTTCTCTCTAATTGTAGAAACCAAAGCAGGTGCATGTCTGGTGAAATCACTGAATTTGACGTCATACTGTGACACTAACATAGTGTCCTAGCACAGCTTCTCAAACTCCACGTGCCAGGAATCCCGAAGAGTACGGGGAACATATTCCCTCAAGAACAACTTTGAAAACCAATCCCATGTGAGTAAAGTTGCCTTGGACGTGCTACCCAATGCGTACATTCGCCACCACTGATATGTCGCTCCCTTAAGATGGAATGTTGTAAAAACAACCCCACTCGTCTCCACAATACCCATGGTGTGGAGAAAATGGTGGCACTCCTCTAGGAAACCATGCGCATCCTCTAAAGCGAAACCACTGAAGGTAGGAAGGTAATACTTCTTGAACCTTGCAAGTCTAAGCTGTTCTTCCTCAGATGTTGCTTCCCTAATCACGGGCTGAACTGGAAACCCTATATGTACCGGCACCATACCTGGAAAATGACCAATGTGAGCCCGCTGCTCTAAGGTGCGGGCGGCGCGAGTTTGAGCTCCTCCCCTGGTCTGTGAAGTAGCTAGTGCAGCCAGAATCAACCCCGCCTAAGCCGATGTACAAAACATGCTCAAGATCTATGCTAAGGTATCTTGAAGTCCGGGGGAAACAACAGGCACCTCCGGTGCTTGTCCCCCAATAGGAGCTACTGGCAGCTCCTCAACTACTGCTCTGGTAGGTGCTCTAGCTATAGCACGTGCTCTTCCTCGGCCACTGCCTCTGCCCCTGCCCTGGCCTCTAGCAACACTGTCTCTATAGGCAGGGTCAACACTAACCCCAGCTCGTGTCCTCGTCATATGTGAGAGAATATAATGACAAAGGCTAAAACTCTGAGTTGTCTCACCCGATAAGAACCATAGACAAATTCTAAGTTGGCTAGTGACGTTATTCTTCCCAATATACCGTAATCAAATCCGATAGCACTTATTCCAGGTCTAATAACCTCATCCCAAGTAGTGCTTCACCCGGTGACCATTGAATCAAAATACTTCATCTTTCTTGTTCTTCAAGTCTATGCACCAAAAGGTGCCACACCAATAATTTCAAATGGACCACTCCACTTGGTTTTTAACTTCCTAGGAAACATTTTCAACCTTGAGTTAATCAACAATAATAGATCGCCCACCTTGAACTCTTTGTTCCAAGTGTATTTCTCATGGAGATATTTCATCTTTTCTTTGTAAAAGGACGAACTCGCATATGCATGGTACAGAAACTCATCCAATTCATTCAAATATGCACGCCTCAAGTTAGCGGCTATATCCTAATCAAGATTAAACTTCATTAGAGCCCACATTGCTTTGTGCTCTAGTTCAACTGAAAAAAAAACAAGCTTTGTGGAACACCACTTTAAACACAATGAATTTCTTTCCAAGAAATGGAGTAAATAGATTGGCAACCGGTATGGAGACATCCCAATAGGCATTTTGTAATACGTCCGATAAGCCCATAACGCACCATCAAGCTTCTTGGACCAATCCGTTCGATTGGCATTCACCGATTTAGACAAGATACTCTTTATCTCCCAGTTGAAGGCTTCCACTTGCCCATTATCTTGTGGGTGAGAGGGTGTCATGACCTTGTGAGTAACACCATACTTGCTGAGTAAAGTGTCAAAAGCTTTGTTGCAAAAGTGTGACCCCCCATTGCTTATGATTGCACGTGAAGTACCAAATCTTATGAAAATATTCTTTTTCAAGAAAGACACTACACTTATCGCCTCATTGTTGGGTAAAGTGACAACCTCAACCCATTTGGACACACAATCCACCACGAACAAGATGTAGGTATTTCCACAATGGGCCCACGATGTCAATGCCCCAAACATCGAAAATATCAATCTAAAAAATGGTTGTCAGAGGCATTTAATTTTTCCTTGAGATTCCACCGGCCCATTGACATTCATCATATCTTTTCACCAACTCACTAGCATCCTTGTAAAGAGCAGCCCAATAGAAACCACAACTAAGCACTTTGGCCACCACTCTTGCTCCGCAATGATGACCACCATATGGCGAAGAGTGACAAGCCCCAAGAATATCACCTTTCTCGTCTTCCGGTACTCACCTCCTAATTATCCTGTCCGTACAAATTCGAAAAAGGTATGGTTCATCTTAATAATAATCTTGACAATCCCTTTTGAGCTTCTTCCTTTGGCTTGAAGAGAACTCATCCGAAATGATTCCACGCACAAGAAAATTTGCCAAGTCCACTAACCATGGCACATCTTTCATTTAAATTGGCTAAGGTTGCTCTTCCGGGAAGGAGTCATTTATTTCAAGTCCATCATGTGGCCTCCCCTCCTCCTCCAAACAAGACAAGTGATCCGGCACTTCGTTGTCACTACCTTTCCTATCTTGGATGTCAACATCAAATTCTTGCCACAAAAGTACCCATCTCATCAACCGAGCTTTGGAGTCCTTTTTGCTCATAAGATAATGAAGCTCCGCATGTTCCATGTGGACAATAACTTTGGTACCCATCAAGTACGGGCGAAACTTCTCAATTTCAAACACAATAACGATATAGTGGACTTGGGCGCTATTCATGGTCATACTAGCATAGTAGACCAAATTGAAAATCTTGTTGATATGTTGCCCCAGATCAGCCCTCACGACTACGTCACTTGCATCACACATGAGTTCAAAAGGCACACTCCAATTTGGAGCGGTGATGATGGGAGTAGTTTACTAAACTTGAGCTTTAACAATTCAAAAGCTCTCACGCAATCATCATTGAACAATGGGTTCACCACTTTAGAGAAATCATTGATAAAGCATCGGTAAAAACCCGTATAGCCTAGGAAACTCTGCACACCCTTCACCAAAGTTGGGGGGTGAAGATTAGAAATCACCTGAATCTTTGCCTTGTCAACTTTACTTCCATTCCTTTAGCTTTTATGGCCATGGAGAATACCTTCCTCAACCATGAGGAAGACAACCATGAGTACCAAGTTGGTTTCGTCACATCTAGCGAGCACTTTGTCCAAATTTGCAAGACAATCATCAAACGAATCCCCAACCACCGAGAAGTCATCCATGAAAACTTCAAGGTAGTCCTCCACCATGTCCGTGAAAATAGCCATCATACACCGTTGAAAAGTCACTGGTGCATTGCACAAAGCAAATGGCTTCCTCATGAAAGAAAAAGTGCCACATGGACATATAACTGTTGTTTTTTTATCTTCTAGAGCAATGAGAATTTGGTTGTAGCCCGAGTACCCATCAAGAAAGCAGTATAAAGCACGACCAGCCAATCTATCGAGCATTTGATCTAAGAAAGGAAGTGGAAAGTTATCCTTTCTTGTTACTTTGTTGAGCTTGCGATTATACATACACACCTTCTATCTGGTCACCATTCTTGTAGGCATCAATTCATTCTTATCATTGGTGACCACCGTCATGCCCCCTTCTTTGGGACACATCAAACCGGAGAGGTCCATGAACTATGAGAGATAGGGTAGAAAACCCCGGCATCCAACCATTTAATAATCTCCTTCTTGACAACTTCTGGCATAGCCTCATTGAGTCTTCTTTGATGTATAATGAATGGTTTAGCGCCATCCTCCAACTTGATCTTATGCATGAAAAAGGTGGGGCTTATACCTAAATATCCGCCAAGGTCCACCCAATAGTCTTTCTCCTCTTTTGTAACAATGCCAATGTGGAATCTACCTACACGTTAGTCAAACAAGAGGAAAGAATAACCGATAAAGTAGAATAAGGGCCAAGAAATTCATAACAAAGGTGTGGAGGCAATGGCTTCAACTCCAAGGTAGGTGGCTCTTCAATAGAAGGATTTGTAGGAAGAGTTCCTATTTTCAAGATGAAAAGACAATTTCTGGGGTGCATAGTTGTACGACACTATTCCCTTTAAAGAGTTCACACATTCCATGAAACCATCCATCTCGCCATCGTCAAAGTTGAGCAAGACGTCCTCCAACATATAACCAACATTGATAGTATCACTTGTATCATCAACAATAACATCAGTCACCAAATCCACAAGAGAACACACCTCATTGCTATTTGGTTACCACATGGACAAACACACATGGAATACCACTTTTTCATCACCAACCCGGAAAGTGAGTTCTCAGGCTTCAACAACACAAAGATCCTTACCCGTAGCAAGTAGAGGTATTCCAAGAATAATTGTCACTTCATAATCACCTTCACAATCTTGAATGACAAAGTTCGCTAGAAGAATGAATTTATCAACCAGGACCAAAACATCTTCAATCACACCCAACGACCTTTTCATGCTACGATCGGCCATTTGCAATCTCATAGAAGTGGGTATTGGTTGTCCAATCCACAAAGTCTTCAAAACTAAATATGGCATCAAATTTGTACTTGCCCCAAGATCACAAAGAGATTTACCAAACTCGAAACTTCCAACTGTACAAGGAATCATGAAATCACTGGGATCCTCCAACTCAGGAGTCATTGAATGAACAATCGCTCTCACTTGATGAGTGACTTTGATATTCAAAAAATTCATCGACCACTTCTTTGTCACAAGATCATTCATAATCTTTGCATAACTGTGCATTTGTTCCAAACCTTCTACCAATGACACATTGATTGAAAGACTCTTCATCAATTGAATGAACTTCTTGAATTGATTCTTACCATTTTACTTGGAAAGCCTTTGATGGTATGGAGGTGGAGGATTAGGCAATGGTGCCCTTGACTTTTGCACTACTATCTCCGGTATGCCAATGATGTGTTCCCTAGACGGGTTCACCTCTTCTTGAGTCTCTTCCCCACTATTGGGGGCCTTTGTAAACCCGACCCCCCGGCGGCCTTGATTGCTACCCCAACCACGTTGGTTGTTGCCTCCCCAATTTCCTTGGTTGTTTCCACTAAAGTTTCTTTGATTGTTGTTGCTATGGCAATTCTCTTGATTGTTAGAACACCAATTGCCATGATTGTTTTGTTGTCGCCATTGTTGTTGGTTTGGGCCTTGGAAGTTGTTTCTTTTCCCTTGAAAACTGTTGACATATTGCACTTCCTCCTCTTGTTCTTTATAAGAATCATCTTGAACAAAACCTCTATCACCTTGTATATAGTTCTGCACTCGGGTTTTCATTTGTGGACCGTTAGTCCTCTTCTTGTTCACCATAACATCCACTCTCTCTATAGCATGAACTTTCTTAGGGGCTTGCACTTGATTTAGTTGAGCCATTGCTAGTTGAGTCATGGTAGTGGTCAATTCGTCAATGGCTTGCCCAAGGTCTTGCAATTATCTGTGGAGGTGGATTATATCCGGATCACCTTGTGGGACATTGGCACGGGATTGCCAAGCCGATGACGTCTTCGCTATCTCAACTAGAATGCCACACGCCTCCGCATAAGGCCAAGTCATAATATTCCCAGCGGCTAGTTGATTCACTACACATTGATTGGTTGCGTTAATCCCAGATAAAAGGTTTGTTGCAACATGTTTTCCGTCATTTCATTGCTGGTACATTCCTTAACTATTGTTCCATAGAGCTCCCAAATTTTGTATAGTGGTTTATTCGGCTCTTATTTGAATGACAAAATCTCATCTAGAAGTGTAGCCATGTGCCCGGGAGATAAAAACTTAGCAATGAAATTGGCCTCCAACTCAACCCAAGTGTGAATTGAATGGTTCACCAAGCGTTCCAACCAATCAAAAGATTTCCCTTGTAGAGAGAAGGGAAAAAGCCTTATCCTCAATGCATCCTCAGAAATATTAGTTTGCTTGCTCCCCCAACATGTATCCAGATAGATGGTTTTAGACATTTAGCCTCAAGCCTTCTATGCTTGCTTTATCAATGATTTCTCTAAAGTGGTGAACCAATTGTGGAAGCTCCTTAAGAAATATGCCAAGTTCAATTTCAATGATGATTGCATGAGAGCTTTTGAATTGTTAAAGCTCAAGTTTACTACCACTCCCATCATCACCGCTCCAAATTGAAGTGTGCCTTTTGAACTCATGTGTGATGCAAGTGACGTAGCGGTGAGGGCTGATTTGGGGCAACGTATGAACAAGATTTACCATTCGGTCTACTATGCTAGTAAGACCATGAATAGTGCCCAAGTCAACTATATTGTTATTGTGTTTGAAATTGAGACGTTTCGCCCGTACTTGATGGGTACCAAATTTATTGTCCACACGGACCATGCGGTGCTTCATTATCTTATGAGCAAAAAGGACTCCAAAGGTCGGTTGATGAGATGGGTACTCTTATGGCAAGAATTTGATGTTGACATCTAAGATAGGAAAGGTAGTGACAACGAAGCGGCAGACCACTTATCTCGTTTGGAGAAGGAGGGGAGGCCACATGATGGACGTGAAATAAATGACTCCTTCCCCGAAGAGCAACCTTTGGAAATTTCAATGAAAGATTGCCATGGTTAGCGGAATTGGATAATTTTCTTGTGCGTGGAATCATTTCGGATGAGTTCTCTTCAATCCAAAGGAAGAAGCTCAAAAGAGATTTTCAAGATTATTATTAAGATGAACCATACCTTTTTCGGATTTGTACGAACGGGATAATTAGGAGGTGTGTACCGGAAAAGGAGCAAGGTGATATTCTTGGGGCTTGTCACTCTTCGCCATAGGGTGGTCATCATTGTGGAGCAAGAATGACGGCCAAAGTGCTTAGTTGTGGTTTCTATTGGACTGATCTTTACAAGGATGCTAGTGAGTTGGTGAAAGGATGTGATGAATGTCAACGGGCTGGTGAAATCTCAAGGAAAAGTTAAATGCCTCTCACAACCATTTATGAGAGTGATATTTGTTATGTTTGGGGCATCGACATCATGGGCCCTTTGGTGAGCTCTTGTGGAAATACCTACATCTTGGTCAAGGTGGATTGTGTGTCCAAATGGGTTGAGTCTATCACTTTACCCAACAATGAGGCGAGAAGTGTAGTGGTTTTATTGAAGAAGAATATTTTCACAAGATTTGGTACTTTACGTGCAATCATAAGCAATGGGGGGTCACACTTTTGAAACAAAGCTTTTGACACTTTATTTAGCAAGTATGGTTTTACTCACAAGGTCATGGCTCCCTCTCACCCACAAGATAATGGGCAAGTGGAATCCTCCAACCGGGAGATAAAGAGTATCTTGTCTAAAACAGTGAATGCTAATCAGACGGATTGGTCTAAGAACCTTGATAATGCATTATGGGCTTATCAGACGTATTACAAAACACCTATCGGGATGTCTCCATATCGGTTTCCAATCAATTTACTCCATTTCTTGGAAAGAAATTCATTGTGTTTAAAGTGGTGTTCGACAAAGCTTGTCCTCTTCCGGTGGAACTAGAGCACAAGGCAATGTGGGCTCTAAAGAAGTTTAATCTTGATTGGGATGTAGCCGCTAACTCGAGGGGCGCACATTTGAATGAATTGGATGAGTTTCGGTACCATGCATATGCGAGTTCATCCTTTTACAAAGAAAAAATGAAATATCTTCATGACAAATACATTTGGAACAAATAGTTCAAGGTGGGCGATCGAGTATTGTTGTTTAACTCAAGGTTGAGAATGTTTCTCGGGAAGCTAAAATCCAAGTGGAGTGGTCCATTTAAAATTGTCGGTGTGACACATTTTGTTGCATTTGACTTGAAGAATAAGAAAGGTGAAGTATGCTGAGTCAATGGTCACCGGGTGAAGCACTACTTGGGCAAGGTTGGAGATAGCCACACGGTGTCGATCATTTATTTCACTTGAGGGAGCTTTGACATTGCTTCTTCCTGTGACGTTAAATTGGGTGCTTATTGGAAGGCAACCCATGTTCTTTTCTTTGTTCGGACCGCACAATTATGATCTTGCAAAAGTGTAAAAATGTCAACTCTTTGAAGTTTGAGCCTGTCAGTGTGAGGCTAATTTGCGACTACAAGAGGAAATCTACGGCCACACCTAAAAATGTGCGAACCACACATTAAGATAAGAGAATTCTGACCCATGTGATAGAGTGTGGACCGCACATGGAAATATGCGGTTGCACTTGACTCCTTTTCCCTGTTAATATTCTTAGTATAAATAGAAATCTTGAGTTCATTTTACACTTTTCCCTTTCCTCAAAATCGTTGTTACTCTGCAAGTTTCCTGAGAGATTTTCACTTGGCTAACAAGAAATTGGGCTAGTTAAGTATTTGAATAGCCTAAATAAAGGGTTTGAACTAGAGATGGGGAAAACCCGACATGAGCTCATAGCAACTATTTAGTTTGATACTCATTTGGGCTTGAGAAAGCCAAATTGAGAAAAATCACTCTATGGTTGAGAAGTATTGAGTGGGTAACTTAGAGTTGAGAGCTATAATACACCCCAATTACTAAAACAAGTGTTACCATAATAAACTCATTAGTAGAACACCTAGGCAAAGGTTACATCCCGAGGCCTTTTTACCTACATGAAAACAACCAAAAACAATTAGTCAATGTCTAATTTTGTTTCTCTAGTTGATCATTGATAGTGTAGTTTATAAAAGAAATTAGCAAAACCAGCTTGATTGGAAATATATTTAAGCTGTTTCATCTTCACGCATCAAATATACTCCAACACCCATTTTTAGCTCCCTGAGAAAATCGACCCCGACTCATAGTTGGGTACTATTCTTCCAATGATCTCTTCCACTCTTTGTTGAGTGTGGATTGGGAGGGGATCCATTTTTAGCGCCGTTGTTAGGGAGCTTAAACGTTGTTAGCTATATATTTGAGTGTGTTTTTGGCTTATCTTCTTTCCCTTCCGTGTTACGAACGTGTTTAAGAAATATTACGTACTATCATGGCAAACAATGAGCTCAGAAATATGCCTCTGGGGGACTTGGACGGTGAGGAGGAACAACTCGATGAGGTACGTCAAGACAACAAGCCCGTTCCACCCCCTCCTCCACCATATCCACCACAAGCATCTCCATACCATATATTTCCCAACGAAGGTTATGCTAGTGCAATAGTCCCTCCCCGTATTAGGGAGGGCAACTTCCAAATCACCAATGTGCTGCTCACTTTGCTTGAGCAGCAGAGTTTCCTTTCCGGTGCTCCAACTCGAAATGCTTACAAACTTTTGAAAGGCTTTCTATATACATGCTGGGGGAGCAAGAAAACTAATGTTTCCGAGGATTCATTGAGGCTAAGGATTTTTCCCTTCTCTCTACGAGGGAAATCTTTAGATTGGTTGGAACGTTTGTTGAACCATTCAATTCACACTTGGGATAAGTTGGTGGCCAAGTTCATTGCTATGTTTTTGTCTCCCGGGCACATAGCTACACTTCTAAATGAGATCTTGGAATTCAAATAAGAGCCGAATGAACCACTACACTAAATTTAGGAGCGCTACGGAACAATAGTTAAGGGATGTACCAGCAACAATATGATGGAAAACATGGTGTAACAAACCTTTTATCGTGGGATTAACACAACCAAAAAATGCGTAGTGATTCAACTAGCCATTGGAAACATTATG